GAATCTGGTATTCACAGGTCCATCCTTGAGAGGAGCAAATACATCTCTGCATCTAGCAGAATCCCTAGTTTTGTGTTTATGTGTTTATTTACTGCTGAGATCACATTCCTCCAGGAAGCCCTCTCGGGTAGACTCTAAATCAGCTCTAGTTGGCTGTTTTACCTGAATGGCTTTTTCCTGCATCATGGGATACATCCTTTGCCCTTAGAGCATGTTTTAGAAGTCACAGAATAGGGTTTAGAAACAATGGAGTATGACATAATAAGGAACAAAATGGCCTTGAGGGATTAGAATATAATTGAAGTTTTGTTGTATCATATAATAATGGTGTAATCTTGGACAAGTTATTTCACCTTTATGAAGCTGTTTCCTCACATTTTAAAATGATAAAATAATAATACTTATGAAAACACCTGGCACATTTTTGGCTCACGGTTGTCCAGAAAAAAATATATTTGCTATTACATTCATTCATATGGACAATGCTTTGCCTACAGCTGGCTTAATTTAAGGGCTCCTTCATTTCCTTCTTGACTGAGCATTTCCCTAAGTAAAGGCAAGATTCTTCATACCTGTCAGGTATTCAGTGTGTGTTTCAAGTTATACATTCTTTTGGTTACCAGACTTTTTAGTGATGATTATCAAATATTTGGGAAGGATTCTGATAAAAGAGATCAACATTTTCACTTCAAATAGTTATCTCAAACTTCAATAACAAACATTAAAATACCGAGTAATGACATACTCCATACATGACAGGATCAGCTGTAGAAATTAATTCTTATGAGGTTTGAATTATAATCAATTCCAAGAAGATAATCCAGGTATTGGAGGAGCACACATATTCTCAACAGGGACTCATGTGCAAGTCTGTGGAATGGAATGCAAACAAGGCAATCCAAGAAAGGGTACAACATATCTCAAGAAGAGCATAACTATTAAAAAATTAAAAGAGACATTTAGTTCATATGCTGTTGTATAGTGAAATAAAGCCTAATAAAATAAATCAGCAGAAATAGAGAGCCATGCAATCTAATCTTTCACATTTCCAGTTGGAAGTCTAACCTTCTGTGTTCGTACAAAACACAAGAGATTAAGACTTTCTATTCTTAATGCATTGTCATATTTCTTATATAATACTTTTTGTATTTTTAATTTAATTTATTTATTTGAGAGAGAGAGCACACGAGTAGGGAGGAGGGGCAGAGGGAGAGCAGGGAGACTGATGCAGGACTTGATCCCAGGACCCTGGGATCATGACCTGAGCCGAAGGCAGACGCTTAACTGACTGAGTCACTCTGGTGCCCCTTCTTGTATGTTTTGTATTATACATGACAATATCTTTAGAGTAAGAAACACATTTCAGTGGAAGATTTTAACAATGTATTCAGTTTCTCCTCACAAAGGAGTCAAAGCTCACTACCAAAGTCACATTTAATTCCTATTCCCTCATTATGGAATCCATCACCTAGTACATGGCAAAAGAATAAGATAGATAGATGATAGATAGATAGATAGATAGATAGATAGATAGATAGATAGATAGATGATAGATAGATAGATGATAGATAGGACAATGAGATTAGGAATCTTTATCCTCATTTGGTCCCACTACTTAATTCCTCAGTATCTTCTATTTCTTAGTATCTTTGATTAATTCAAAGTAGAAAACACTTAAAATTTTATTATCTGTACAGGTTTTCATAAGATAAGTATTCAGGGGGATACAACATGCAAGTTTGTTACCCTGACTTGTTCAGGTAATGAACAGGAAAACCACATTTTTAAATTTTCTTCATTATGTGCTTATTATTATTATTATTATTCATATATCATGGTAATTACGGAACATATACAAGAAAAAGGACTGGCATAATCCAAAATCCTTTAGCTAATTTTTCAGCATGAGTTTTTAGTCACAGACTTTACTCAATCCCAATTCATTCCTCACCTGAAAGATCTGCCTTATATCACTGGAGCCCAAACCTTCAAACCCTATAAAATTCTCCCTTAAACTTTCCATTCTAAGACACAGTTCAAACTCTAGTCAGCTATTATTTTCTCTAGTTGTTTATCTGTAGTTGAGTCTGATTAACTTAAGTTCATTTGATTACCAGTTTTTTCTGGTGGTCTTTTGGGGAGTTGAGAGTAGAAATAAGGAAGTCATAATGTCATTAACAGTGGTTAGCTGTGGGTCAGCATGTTCAAAATCTAGATTCTCTTTTCCCAGAAGAATCTATGAGCTATATACTACTACTACTTTTTACAATAGCAGTTCCATGTATGTGCCTTTACATGTATTACTTTTTAAAATCTTTACAAAACACTCATCAGGTTTGCAGTATGGTTCTTTATTTTTCCGAAAGAAAACTGCGGCAAAAAGAAGTTAATTAGCGGGATGCCTGGTTGGCTCAGTCGGTTAAGTGTCTGCCTTTGGCTCAGGTCATGAACCCAGGGTCATGGGATCGAGTCCTGCATCGGGCTCCTCACTCAGAAGGGAGCCCGCTTCTCCCTCTGCCTGCCACTCTCCCTGCTTGTGCTCTCTCTCTCTGGCAAATAAATAAAAAAAAACTTAAAAAAAAAAAGTTAATTAGCTTTCCCAAAGTTATCCAGATGATATGCGTCAGAATCACTGACAAAGTTCTGTCCAGGCACAAAGGGCCCAGATTACTAAATATAGCTTTGTGAGAAAAATGGGACTAAGGGGCTCCAGCTGGACTCAGATTTCCCTGGGTCCCACATCACTCACCCCAGCCTTAGACAGTGTTCCACTTAAGATTGTTGGTACTGAACAGACAGGAAGACAAGCAGGTTCACATATCGGCCTTATCCTCACTCACCATAGCCATTCTCTTTCTGTGCTTACTGCCTACAGACTTGTCCCTCAAAAACTGGTGTGACTTGTCTCCAGGGAATATTCTTAGTGACAATTCAAACCAAACTATTTCCCAGAAAACTTAAAATTTTATCATTTTTGTTCAGGCTTTCATAATAGATGTTCAAAGGGAAACCATACACAAATCTTGTTTCCCGGAATTATTTAGATAACAGGAAAACCAAATTTTTTAAAAAATTAAACTTACCAACATTGGTGTCTTTATTGTGTAGAGTTGTCAACCTGCCCATCATTTCCTAAGATTGGATTTGCAACGGGGGCTCCCACTCAATCTACTCAGCTAGTGATTTTATTGGCAACAAAGTCTCCAAGGGACAAAACAGTTGATATACAGTCTTTTACAAAATTTTTGTTGCTATCAATTTTCTATTTATAAATTCACTGCTTGCATAAATATTTTCTTGTGATTTTTGCCCAAAGATTTATGCTTATAATTATTCATGTCCACTGGGGTCAGAGAGAAAGAAAGAGGGATTAAAACACTCACATTTTAGCCCTTGGTGTTTCCTCAAAAAATTTAAAATACAATTGCCATATGATCCAACAATTCCACTTCTGGGTGTATACCCAAAAGAACTGAAATCAAGATCTAGAAGAGATACTTATACACCCATATTCACAGCAGCATTATTTGCAGTAGCCAAAAAGTGGAAGCAGCCAAATTGCCCATCAGTGAATGAATGGATAAACAAAATGTGGTATATTATTTACAAAGGAATATCACTTAGCCTAAACAAGGAAGAAAATTGACACGTATTACAATGTGGATTAACCTTGAGGACATTATGATAAGTGAAATAATCTTGTCACAAAAAGATAAATATGTGATTCTCCTTACATGAAGTATTTACAGTAATCAAAATCACAGAGACAGAAAGTAGACTGGTGGTTGCCAGGGGCTGATGGGAGTGAGGAATGGGAAGTTGTTTAGTGGATATGATAGTTTTGCAAAATAAAAACTGTCTGTTTTGTCACAATTTAAAATTTTAAAAAACTATTATCGCTAAAAAAAAAAAAATCAACCATGATGCCAGGCTCATGGTAAGTGATACAAAAATTCGCTATTATAATTTTTTTATTTTATTTTATTTTTTATTTTTTTTTAAAGATTTTATTTATTTATTTGAGAGAGAACACATGAGAGGGGATAGGGTCAGAGGACGAAGCAGACTTCCTGCCGAGCAGGGAGCCCGATGCGGGACTCGATCCAGGGACTCCAGGATCATGACCTGAGCCGAAGGCAGTCGCTTAACCAACTGAGCCACCCAGGCGCCCTCGCTATTATAATTTGAAAATAGTTATAATATAGTAGTTATAGTAAATAATTAATACAGAAAGGTTGAGGAAAGGCAGAAATTTTGTTTATTTTTCCAAGTGAATAAACTGAGGAGGGAAGTGGGATAGCTGAGTTCACACAGAACCAATCCTAAATATCAGATGGACGAAGCATGGCATAGTGAGAAAAAAGGCTGGAGATGCCATTTAAGAAGACATTTGTTCTAGTCTTGATGCACTCAGTAACCGACTGGGTGATCTGAAGCAATTCCCTTTGCCTCTCTGAAACTGAGTTTCTTCATCCAAAATCTGGTTGTTAAAATGGCTCATATCTAGATTTCCTTGCCCACAAAGATACACATTCAGAAATCATGATTTAACTCTATTGCTTCCCCATTCCATACATATATGTGTTCTTTGTCAACAAGTTTATAGGCAAGAAACCAGCAAATTACTACTATTATGGGCACAATGTTGACTATATGTGTCCATGGTGTATGGAATTTTATTTCATAGTAACTAGATGATCTTACAGTATTTCCTTATAAAATAATTCCAGATCCATGAGAAGTGGTATGAGTATAAAGGGCACACAATATAAAATGCAGGACCGAGCTTGAATGTTGGATTGGACTAGCTGTCTAGATCATTTAGTAGAGAACATATGGAATAATCCTCCAAAGAATAAACAACCCAAGGGAACTATTAGAAAACTTGTGGAAAAAAAGTTGCTACATTGAAATAAGAGTATGTGAGTACAGATTCTTATATATCAGTCTGTTAATCATTTTCATCCCTTAAGAATACAATACTTAATAGTAGTACTTACACTAATATCAACCAAACGTGTCATCCAATGGTTCATGAAAATCCAAGCATATTAAATGAGTTTCAAAAGTCTCACTAGCTATGTACCAAGACTCTAGAAGAAGATGTGATTTGCGTTGTAAAACCTGATGGAAAAAGGGGATGATTACACAAGTGGCAGCAAATGGTAAAATATGCATACACTTTCACCTGATAATTTCATATGAAAACTCACCTCATAGAAATAATGCTTCCAATGCATAAGCTAAATGTTGAAGGATGTTTATTGCAGCACTGTTTATAGTGGTAAAAAGCTAGAGCCAGTTTCTTTATCAGTTAAGGAATGGAGAGATAAACCCACACAATATAATGTCATGTAGTTAATTAAAAATGATGCATTAGTGTGGCACATTTGTTACAATTGATGAGCCGATATTGGTACATTTTTATTAACTGAAGTCCACAGTTTACATTAGTAGCCATCAGTGTGAAATGTTAATAACAGGGAAAACTGTGTGTGTATATATGTGAGGGACTGGGTGGGGAGTTAGGTGTATACTTTCTGGAAAAATATATTTTATTTTTCTGGTCCATGTTTTATTTTTTAATTATTATCTGCAATTAGCCAGATCTGTAATGTATTATTAAGTAAGAAAGCTGGTCAAAGATCAGCATATACAGGTTGACTTGTAAAAACAAACATCAATGAAACATCCTAAATATTGTTATTATGATTATATGAAAATAGACAAATGAGTGAAATAATACACAGTAGGATATTAACCTGCTTATATGAATGTAAATATGTGCTGAGAGGATGGAGACAAGAAAATGGTACTATAAAAATGGAAAAAAAAAAAACCATGTGCTATCATGTTAAATAAAAGCAAAGATTTTTTTTCTGTTTTATTATTAAAATAAATGATAACAAATACAACAAATATGAAACTGAATATTTACCATCTTCCATAACTATGGTAAACCTCTAAGCTCAGACTTACTCTTAATAAGGCTTACTCTTAATATGTAAAGGAAAGCTTCTGTAATATAGAGAAAAAGTCTATATTTCAAAAGAAAAGCTTTCAGGACCATAATGTCATTACAGACTCAAAAATATGTTTTTAAATTTGAAGTTAACATTCACTTCTTTGTTCTGCATGATATCCATGGTCTGTGGGAAGCTGCAGGGAAACTTGATCTATGGAAAAGTAACTTAATATACCTGTTTAATATTTTTCAATGATATTATTTTTGTTATGCAAGACAAATCATTATGAAGCCACGTTTTGCCCTGCCCAATAAAAGTGAAGTAAAATAGTAAGAAAATACATTCTTCATTATGGTTAGTGTGCCAATAATCTTGTTTATACTGAGCAAACATTTCTCAGTCTAAATCTTAGAATGACAGGTAAGTGGGTGGTAATGACTAACTGTCCTCACAGAGACCTTCCTCACCTTAACAGAGAAGGAGTTGCCTGCTAGGGTTGGTTGCCTGCCTTCCAGGTTGTAGGTAGAAGCAAGTACAGTGGATTAGGGAGGATAATGCTTCCTGATTCTGTCTACATCCCTTGGCCCTAAATTTCTATACAGTGATCGCAAGTAAATACTCAAGTAGACTCTTTGCCACACAGGCTATGAGGATGCATTAGTGAAGGGGGTCAGGGGATGAATTGAGTGCAAAGCGAGAGTGGACTCTTATAAATAGGAAAAGAAGTCATCACCAGTGGGGGAATCAGCTGGAGTTTGGGGTTTAGTTGCACTCCTCTCCCCATCTGAGATATTTGCACATAAAATTTCAACTGATGGACATTAAAATATCACTGCTATGTTTGGTAGAGTTGGTTTTGGAGAATATGACTTGGATTAAGAGCCAAATAGACTTCCTAAAAACTTGTTCAAAGTCCCTCAAATTGGAATAATTACCCAAATAGTCCTAGATTTAACAGCCCTCACCATAGGGGCAGACCTCTTATAAAATAGGCCAAAAAAAGTGTGCTTGCTGTTGGCCAGTCATTCCAAAATAGAGAAGAGATTGCGTTACACATACTTCTCCCAACCTCACAAGTCAAAGGAGGTGAAAAGAGTAGCTGTCAGTATAAATTTAATAGATATTTCCTCAAGGAAATAGGATTGGGGATGGGATTCCTTCAACAGGAGGAGTGCCATATGAGGTGATGGGTAATTATCTCACACTTCGCTCTCTGAAAGCAAATAAGTAAGTAGAAACAAGTAAGGGTGACTAATTATAAAAGGGACAACTATTGACTGTAAATGTTGTTCCAGCATTTTGTGAAGCCAGCAGCTTCTGGGTGGTATGATTAGTGGATTCCATGGCATGGGCCCACTCCCACTCCCATATTTTTTGTGGTAAAGTGGGCTACCTGGTCTGTTGTGATGGTATGTGAGATTTTATATCAATAGATCAAACATTTTATAAGCCCTTGGATAGTGATGCTGGTTGCAACTCTGTAGGCAGGAAAGAAAAACCCATACTAAGAATACATAACTATTCCTATCAAAGCAAATAGCTGGCCTGTGCACTAGTGATTAATGATGCATCATATAGCCAGTTGGTCTCTTTGAGAAATGGGGCCATATTTTGTGTATGTGTGTTTCTTTTTAATTTATTTTACTGTGATAAGCAACTTAAAGACATCCTCTTAACAATTGTTAAATGTACAATACATTATTGTTACTATAGGTAGAGTGTTGTATAGCAAATCTCTAGAACTTATTCAGCTTATTTAACTGAAACTTTATGCCTATTAATTAACAACTCCCCATTCCCCCCCCCACCCCGGGTGACCATCATTCCAGTCTTTTGTTTTATGAATTTGACTACTTTAAATAGCTCCTATAATCTGAATAATGCAGCCTTCCTTAGGCTAAAGAGTATTCCATTGTGTGTGTGTGTGTGTGTGATGTTTTCTTTATCCATTCATCTGTTGATGAACATTTAGGTTGTTTCCACATCTTAGCTATTGTGAATATGGGAGTGATAATATCTCTTTGAGATCTTGATTTCAATTCTTTTGAATATATACCCAAAGTGAATAATGAGATTACTGAATCAGATGGTAGCTCTATCTTTAACCTATTGAGAAACCACCATACTGATTTCCATAGTGGCTGTAGGAATGGCACCATATTGGGGTTCAGTGTTATTCTCTATTGAGAACACTATCAGTTCTCTGTTCTTGTTGGCAGTTTGAACATTCGGTGGTGGCAGTAGTTATTTCAGCATTGGTCCATTTTTGCCACTGTGGCCACTTTTGTCATGTGCCTGTTTTGCCAGCATTGGAGTGGCCAATGGAGAAGCCAACATCAGCTTCTGTACTTGGTGGTTTGGTACCTTTACAGTAATAGTTGATATCTTGTGCATGATGACATATGACACAAAAATCCTCATATTTAGCCTCCTCTGATAGGTCTAGACACCTACCTCAGTCTTAGTTATTTTGTCTCTGGATCTTCCAATCTTTCTTCCAGGCCTTTGACTAGCTAACTAAATCATTTGATAATGCCCACGAGTCCTTTTCTTGGAAATGACAATGTTTTTAATTTGGTACCTTGGTCAGGAGTAGGAGGGATAGTTTTCTAGGCTTTCCCTTGGCTTTTCCCACTGTGATACCTCTTGCCTCACAGGCCAAGGACCCAAATTGGGAGTTCTTTCAACTCTCAAGTATGTCTATGGCAATTACCACCCAGGCCTTAAAAGGGAATCTGCATCCAACACACGTTAGTGGTACAATGTTTTGAATTCAATGGATATTGTGTTGAGGAATTATATTTTAATTTATGATTATAATTATATTTTAATTTGTTAAGGAAGTATATTTTATCACACATTTACTATGGCCCTAGTAGAAGGAATGAACTAAGTTTCTGGTAAGTCTGTGTTACCATTGACTTCTGATTTAACTGCTTTCTTCTTTTTTCTTCATCAATGGGGTTGAAATGGTCTTAGCAAAACTGGCTATTTATGATCCAGACCCTAAATTATCAACAATACTGTTTTTTTAAAGAATAAGCATAATCACATAGTCCCTCTGTTCTGAATCTTCCAGTAACTCCATACAGCTTCCAGAATAATCAAACAAACAATTCATTGAAATAAACCAAATGAGGAAGTTTAAGTTTATGAATTAATACATTGGTACCGAAAAGAAGGGAAACATTCAGAAACATTTTGAAAATAAATCATGTAGCTCTTATAACCAATGTTGTATTTCCCTTTGAACAAGGGAAAAGAGAAAGTTAAGGGTGATGTAAAGATTTCTAGCTTGAGCTAAATCAATGGGAACTGCATTCTCCATGGAAGAGAATAAAGCATGTATAAAGTTATTTGTGTGTAGGTGTTAATCTCTTCTATCAGACTCTGATGCATTTGATAAATACATTAATTCAGCTTTGTACTCCCCACAGGATTTACTATAATATATTGTGTATAATGTTAGTCTCAAATTGGTCTTTGATTTACGAGTGGGTAAATGTGGACTACTAAAATCTTATCTACAGCACCACAAAATATGCTGACATTGTTGGAGAAACCAGTCAGAGCAAAAAAGCTGTTTTTAAAATCCTAACATTCAGATACACATGTAGACAAGCCATATTGTATCAATAATGCCAAGGCAAAAATGAGCAAATATTTCTCCTCCTTTATGACCCCACATTGACCAGAATAGGATTTTTATTTTGTTTAAAGACTATTCTTAATGTTTATATGAATAAGCAGGAAACCCTGGGGGCAAGGTTGTGTGTGAAAAAGAGACTTGTTCATCAACCACATCAGCTGTGCTAGAAAAAAAGTACAAATCCCACAATCATGGGCTTGTGAGTTAAAATGCAACTTCAAGGTCTTCTTCCCTCAGATGTCAGCTAAATATAACTACTTCGTCCACTCATGGGCAAGGTCAGTCTTTTACATTTCATATTTTGGGGAAGAAGAACAAATGATAAAGGAAGAGTGACAAAAATCTAGCTAGAAATGGTGGCAGGGACAAGAGTGGTGGCTTGGAAAACTAAAGTGGAAAACAAAACAAAACCCATTTGCACTGTTTGGACCCCAAAGGGCATCCAAGGCCTAAGGATATGTCACATTAACAACGTGTGAATAAGGCAATTGCCATCCTTGGAATATGTCTAACCCAGACTCTAGGCAGACTGGCTCTTTGTTAATGGGAACTGACAAGATATTTGGCACTGAACAGATATCATAGAAAAAGAACAAAACCCAGCCCTGGGCAATGGCATCACCGAGGAGCACTAATTCACTTAGCCTGGGACTGCTAGATCTTTCTTTTGTTCGCACCAGCATATGGGGAGTATTCTTGGAATAGCTGTTTGGCTCCGCTGCATCTGTTGCTACCAGCAATAGAGCTTCTCTGGTCACCTTATTCATACCTTCTGCTCACATGACAAAGATAATGATTTTCAGTTCTGCCGTGGCAAATTTCATAGCAACACAAGGGTGTTGTTCTAAATAGGTTAAACTCTCTTGCCTCCCCCAAATGTGAGGAACAGTTCATAGTCTGTGCAGGCAGAGCTACAGGTTT